CTAAGCAACAGACACACACACAGATACACACTGCCCATAACACTGTGCTGTCACCTGGAAAGAACAGCTTCTGTGACCTGTGTGGAAATCTCCTTCATGACTTTTCTTATTATAAAAAGGGGCTGAAAAGTCACTGTCTGGGGGGCTTCCAAATGAAGGTGGCAGCACACGTGTGAAAACAGCAGGATAGTCTGGGTCTGAACTGCAGGGAGACAATGATCAGGATCCGCCCAAAGCCGATTCCTCTGAGGGGCAGGCAGACATACCTCCACCCTCCAAGTTTCCACCAGTTCTGCCACCAGCCATCTTCTCCACGTCACTCTCCAACTCCCTCCTGGCTACAATAATCCATCACAATGGCCACACAGAACTCACAGACCATCCTTACACTTCAATGGCTTATTAAGGAGCAGGGTACTACTTGGGATCAGGATCAACAGGCTATAACTTAGGATCAGGATCAGGATCAGGAAGCATGGAGGCGACGTCTCCCTTCTTCAGTGGAGGACAGCTCTCGCAGCCCCCTGAAGACAGGCCACCATCAGCCCCTCACCATAGGCCCCTCTCGGCTCCTCAAGGAAGGCCTCCTCTTGGCCCCCCGAGACAGGCCTCCTCTTGGCTGCTCAGGACAGGCTCGACTTGGCCCAACAAAGCAAGCTTCCTTCCATGGGTAAACCTTTCCTTTACATTTTACAAAAGTAGACTAATACAATATTTGTCCTTCTGTGATGGACATGTTACACTCAGCATAATGTCCTCTAGGTTCACCCATGTTATGAGGTGTTTCAAAGATTCTACATTATTTTTTAGTGTTCCATAGGATTCCTTTGTGTGTATGTACCACAGTTTGGTTATTCATTTCTCCAATGATGGGCATAGAGGTTGTTTCCATCACTTTGCTATTGTGAACAGTGCTGCAATGAACATGAGTGTGCATGTATCTATTTACATCCTGCCTCTCACTTCTATAGGATATATACCTAGTAATGGGTTGCTGGATCAAATGGTATTTCTATTTTCAACTTTTTAACAAATCTCCATACCAATTTCCACAATGGTTATTATCATTAAAAAAAAAAATTATTGTGATTTGGGTGCAAGTTTACAGAGGAAATTCTTTTTCC